TCAGTGCCGCCCTGGTTAGCCTCGATGGCGCTCATTCTCTTCTTCCTGCAGTGCTGCTTACACCCCTACATCTACGGCTACATGCACCGCAGTGTACGCAAGGAGTTCCTGGCGCTGCTCTGCGGACCGCTGTGCGGGCAGGGCCGGATCAGTCGGGGCTCCGCGGTGGACAGCTGCTTCACGGTGACGGATGGACGCCTGGCACACACCCACCTCTCAAGCCAGGCTGCCCGTGTGTGTCCTCTCCGAACCTGGGAGGAAGGCACCACGTCTTCTTCCCCTACAGAGAGGAGGTCCAAAGACAGCCGTAAGGAAACCACCTCCATCAGTCTGAGCTCAGAGAAGGAGCTCACTGTACACAGCCACACCAACAATCAACCTGAGGAAACACCTACAAGCAAATTCTGAACATTTTTCTGTCAGTGTTGGGGTATGTACATCTCTTTTGGTTTCCATTTAGGGCACAGTTTGGTACTTTAGAATCTAATACTGTGCCTTTAAACACAAGCTCACTGAATATACTGTAACCACACTCAGAGTAAAAGGTGCACTGGGTCACTAGAGTGGCACCCTTTCTAAATCGTACTAATATGTATTATTTAGGTACTAATATCACTGTGGGTGATAATATGAACCTTTAGGAGTTTTAAAAAAGTACCTTCTTAAAATGTACCGCCCCAGTGACAGTGCATATGTGTTCATAGCTATGCTATGGACCTACTTTATGGTTAGTACGACAACAGAAAAGCCTTGCAAACATAGTTTCTTGGCAGGATGATAGACTGTTTAAATTATCTTTTAGTCAAGAGTTACATTCATTCATTTTAAACATATGTTCAACATGTTTTAAAGAAATTGTACTTGTATTCAGCAAGGATGCATTCAATTGCATTAAAAGCATTAAACTGCATTAAAATCATGATGTTCACAAAAATATTAAGCAGCATGACTGTTTTCAGCACTGATAATAAGAAGTGTTTCCTGAGCACCAAATCAGCATATAAGAATGATTTCTGAAGGATTCATGTGACACATGTGACTTCTAAAAATTCAGCTTTACCATCACAGAAATAAATAGCGTTTTAAAATATATTAAAATAGAAAATATTCCACAGAATTACTGTTGCTGAATTGTTGATCAAATAAATGCAGCTAGGGAGAGCATAAGATACTGAAAAAACATTTTTAAAAATCTTACCAACCTTAAACTTTTGAATTGTTGTGTTTGTTTACTCTGTGTATGGGAAAGTGGTTGAAAATCTATCATCAGTTATAGTACATGGTTATGGTTATTTAAACAAGACTGGAAACAAGGTCTGAATAATCATTTAATACACAAGGCTTGACATCTAATACCTTATTATGAGTGGTTTAAAATATAAAATATTGGAGACATGGTATAAATTGCTCCATCAAATACAGAATATTGTTTAGTTTTTTTTAGAGTGCTTAAAATATTAGGGAGTAAAATGTTGGGAAAATATTTTTTGAGACAGCATATATTAGTGTACAATATCTCAAAGAATGTTCTTTGTATACATCCATGTCAAATGTATTGCTACTTTACAATTTAAAGACAAAGTATTCCTTATGTTGTTTTGAAATGAATTTAGAATATATGTGGAGAGATTTCTGTCTATTTTTCTAAGCATACATATCAACTTTGTTATACGACTGAATCATTGTCACTGGAATCAAAGTTCTCTTTTAAAGAAACACTGTAAATATAAGAGTAATTACAAGCAAAAGGAAGCTAACAAATTGAAGAAACCGTTCTATGTATTTATTGTTCATGCACCAGTAATACTTAAGCGATGAATCACATCAGCATTAGGGTATGGGTCACTGTATTTCTGTTTGTATTTAAAAGATGTGCGATGTGGAGGGGTTTCAGTATTTTGAAGAGGGTGAGTCACGTGAAAACTGTCAAGATCATGTCTGTTTATCTTTCACCCCAAAATGAGAAAGAAAATTAAGCCTACTTTTCAGACCTTTTTTGCATTGTTCCCACCCATCAAACCTTTTCTCGTACCTTTACTGTAAAAAAAAAAAAAAAGGTAAATCTTAATTCAATTTCATTCAAAGTATTTATATATCATAGTAGTATTTGTTGAATTGCCTTATTTATTTATTTGTGAAATGTGACCTGGACATGCTTTCGTGAGATTCACCCAAGAACAGCTAATGAGCTCAGGATCTCAGGTTATTTATGATGTACCTCTTGACCAGTGTGGAGAGTCAGCTCTCTTTGAGAGTGCCTCCCTAGATAAATTGTACATGATCTCTGTGTTGTGCAATATGTTCAATCCCCTGACACTGCCAAATGTATAATTTAACCACTGACATGATGTGAGATTAAATAAGCTGGCTTCAAAACTGCTGAAGCAATTTAATATGTTATCAAGTTCAACCACTACATCAAGGCAGGAATGTTAACCGCTCTTGAGCACTTAGCTTGACCCTGTAGAAAATGGGACTGCTAGTGCTTCATTATTAATTTCTGGCTGGGGTGGTTAGAAGTCAGCTGAATCAATCATGAGTCAAACCTGCAATTTCCTCTGCTACAGCAAGTATTATTTTGAAACCAGTGAGTGCAGCAATACAGATCACTGATATTATCAACTGTATGTCAGTTTTCAGTAATGTCTGCAGCACTTATAAAACTATAGACAGTCACTTTCAACAAAAAACAAAACAAAGAGCGGAGTCAGCTAAAACATGTCATCATCACTCCAACTGTAACAACTGACTGTTTTATATATATAAAAAAGTTAGAATTAGACATTTTTGTAATGATGTACTTTGTGATTTTTTTTTTTTCATTATAACATGGTGAAGAATGTTTATGTACACCTCACAAGACTTGAAGCTCAGTACATTATGTGAGTTTTCAAATTAAAATTGAATTGAAAAATTATGTGCAAGCATGTAGTTTTCTTAACGTATTGACATTTAAATAATTGACAGTACAAAATTACTAAATATCTCCCATTATTTAGATATTACTTGTATAAAAGAGTCCTATAGCAAAAAAACATTTGCTTCTTAACCATTCAGTTTCCTTCCCTCCATAAAAAACAATTTGGCAGCAAGATAAAACTAAAAACACATGGAACAAAATCGTTTTATGCTACTAACAATGAAGTAAAAATTATTACTGATATTCACCAACAGGTGACAATATAGAGGTTACTGTGGTGTGGTTTTACATGACTTGAGCGGTAACATTAGCTAAATTATGGGTGAAATTTCATGGGCAAAATGGTCAATTGTATATTGTCAATAGCACGAATCATGAAGCACAGCACACACAGAAGTCAATTTAAAACAAAGCAGCTTTCTGTTGGTCAACGAGACAAATCCATGAAAAACATGAACCTGTAGCGATTGCGTTAACTCCTATCTAAATGAGCAGATTTAGCTTGCAAAAAAAATTGCTGAACAACAGACAAATGTAACTGCCCCTTACAGGTGTTAAGTCAGTTAAATTTCACATGGCAAAAAAATGTATAAAAGCACCACTTACACAGAAGTCATTTTCAAACCAAGTAATTTTCTGTTATCAACATGTTGAAATTCCCATGACCAACTTGAACATGAACAAAATCTGTGGGGAAAACTTTTTGCCCTCAAGTGAAACTCCCAGTCACGTGGATTAAAATGACTGTATTTTGCTGCGAAATTTCACTAACGGTAAATGTTACATTAGCTAAACTTATTAGGCAAAAATTTCACCAACAAAGAGCGTTCATTATGCATTATGTAGCAAAGCATGAAGCACCTCTCACTCAGAGGTCACTTCCAAACTAAGCAGCTGTATATTGATCAATGTGACCAAATTGTGAGCTCAAAATGAACAAACTTGAATGCAGTGAGAAATCTGCATATGGAATGTTTTCACGAGTCACTCACGCAAATGCGTGGATTTTTATTAAGATGACTGCTTTTAGCTCACAGCATTTCACCATACAAAGGAAAATGTGACCGCACCCGAAATTGTGTCCCATCTGATCTTTCAAAACAAATTCTGTACCAAAAAATCATGGACAGGAATAATTGTATTAAATATTCAAATTATGTCTTTACAGATGATGAAGTCAAATGTAAAACATACATTTGGATCAATATAAAAGCATAAGACAATTTTCTACATAAGAAATGGGTGTGGTAGGTTTAGCTGGAATGAAGTCACAGGTAGCGTGAGACAAGTAAAGCACTGAAAAATGGTCTTTGGAGTTCACAAGCACACCTGTTGCAAGTCAGTGAATTACAGTTGAGCCAAACACACCAGCCGTTCTTTTAACCTTCATTTAAATGTCTATTCAGACTTCCACATGAAAGCTGATCTGTAAAATGATGTTGTGTTCTCCAAATGTCCTTCCCTTAGTCCACCTTCAGCACGCTGTAGATTTTATTAACAAACAGGAAGCAAGCGAAGAAGCCTATAGTACCTGGATGGAAGGAGAAATGTGAGAATTAACGCAAGAAATAAAAATAAAGAGCACAGGCCAACAAAATGAACATTTTAGCACATGTATGTCACAAAATGTGCCAGACTAACTGACAGGGTTTCTATTAAAACCACATTTAGAGTCATTTGGGTGGCATTGTATAAGATAACCGTCTATTAATAGTACCGTTTCAATGCAGCAAATTATCTGACAGAGCCAAACTAAGCAGAGTGTAATGAAGTACAGGATTAAATCTAATCATCGCTGGGGTGGCAGTGACAGCCAATCAACAATAGGTCTGATTGAAATCTTTAGTTCTGAATCTATTTTCAGATGGATTTATACACTATTCTCAGTCCTCCCCCTCACCTTCCACACACGCTCTCGCTGTATCTTCACTTGGCTCTCAGGATCTAAAAAGTCATGCTAGTTTTGGCTAAAACGAGCCATTTCTGGGAACCATTATTTTAAGATTTGGGACTAAGAGCGTAATGGTGATCCAGTAAGCCTCGTTTTAATCGTGCCTTACATTTTCACCCCTCACGTGTGCATGGAAGTTGCCATAACAGCCGCAGCCAGGGATCCTAAAGCATCTAGTAGAATCCATGGCAACAAATAGATTGTGGCTAATAACCACTCAGAAAACCGATGGCGGCGGTTTCCCATCATTCAAAGCAAAGCCGTGAGAACTGCGGTGATTGCACTAGTAATCTGGAGGGTTTTTGTAAAGGTTCTACATAAAATGTCAAAGTACTGTCGCCAAGGAGCTTGGGCTATTTTACCAAGTCTATTAGGAAAGCACATGCTGCAAAACTAAAAAAGACATTTACATGCCATTTATAGAGAAACAAGTAAGCATGTGTAGATGCTATCAACCAACAGCTGTTTACGGCTGGCAGACAGCTGGCCACCTCCGCCTCAGCATATCAATGAGGGGAAGCAACAGAGATTTGATTAAGGCTGGAGAGAGCGCCGATGTCTTTCAACAACAATAAAAGATGAGGAATATTTATAGGTGTCCCAATTACCCACAGCCTAAACACAGCATGACCCATTGGGCAGGAACAAACCAACTAGAACTGGTCACCTGCCAAAGGAAAGGACTAGAAGGGAGACATACTGCAGCATCAAATCCACCGACATTATGAGGAACTGAACATTTGATATTGTGGGTGAAGTAAAACAAGGCAAACATTTGCACTAACCACAGAAAGCATTGACGTTCAGGAACAGGATACAAATCCTGTAGCTTTTAAATGGTACTTTACCAGGGGCGGCTGCACCAGCTGTGCAGAAATTACAACTTAGCCATTACTAAATATGTAAATTTTTTCGTTTACTCACCAGACTGATATACTATTTTTATATATATATATATACATATATATATGTATATATATATATATAAAAATCAAAAAAAGGGACGATTATAGGTGAGCACCAGCCAATGAGATTGCCGTTTGCGCAATAGTTCCGACCACTACTCCTAAATATAATGTAGAAATTTTAAATTTCTTTGAAGCTGCTTTGCAACGATTTGTATCGTGAAAAGTACTATACAAATAAACGTGAACTGTATCTTATGGTTGTTCTTAAAAGCTTAAGAATTCCAAATAAACTCCGTTATTTTGACAGGAAAATACAACAAAGAATATCGTTTACATGTAGCGTGTCAATTCTGCATGGTAGGCTATGTAAGACTCTCTCTGTCTCTCTCTCTCTCTCTTTCTTTGCATGTGTGTGAGAAACTGTACTGTCAGCAAAGCGACGGCGAGTAGTGCACCTTCACACTAGAGTTTACGAGAGTAATGTACGCTGCACATCCATAAAGCCGCCTTTCCACTGTCTCCGACATTCGGAAACGATTGTCGCATTTCTCCCCCTAGCCAGAGTTGCACAGAACTTTCATACTGGTTGTGAAGCAACCGTTACCTTTGGCTTATTCACCATGGTAAAATGAATGATTTTACTGAATATAATGAATGTCTGAATATATCCACACTAAATAAAATGACCCCTAAAATAAAAACATCGTAGGTTTTATGGGGCTAATCAACGTACATAATGACTTAGGCCTAATCCCAATTCTACCCCTTAGCCCTTCCCCTTTAGGGGTGTCTCAATTCTCTTTTGGTTGGAGGGGTAGGGGGAAGGGGAAGGGCCAGACAGCCCTTCAAACGAAGATTTTTGGGGACCACACTTCAAACGAAGGGGTATGAATTATCTCAGCGTAAACCGGCTTCAGGGGCAACATGGCTGCCCGAGCGAACAAAAAGACACATAAATGTAAGCATTTTTGGCATTAATAAAGATTTTAACGAAAAGTAATCTTTTCCCCCCTTCCCCTTGACACTCCGTTTCAAGGGACAAGGGGAAGGGGTAGGCGGAGGGGAAGGGGTAGGCGGAGGGGTAGGGGAAGGGGAAGGGGTATAAAATAGAATTGGGATTGGGCCTTAATAATTAGAAAATAATTACTTCTGCCATAATTAGCCTATTCTAAAGCGCCATTTTACAGAAATAGTGTTTACAGAATAATGTTATGATCTGAACTCCACGCAGCTCCCGCACTACTCGCCACTGGAAATGAATGACTTCTGGTCTATCGGTTGTCGTTTGTCGGAGATAGTGGAAAGGTGGCTTAAGAGATGAATTCAAAAATAGCACAGATTGCTTGACAGAGAGTGAAAATATATCTGTGCTAAACTTATACTTAGCCTCCAACTCACACACTGGCGAGTAAAATCTAAGAATTTATTAGCCTATGACTCATGTTAGACATCATTTAGTCGCCCAGAGTGAAGATTTAGTCACATATGCAAGTGATTTACTTGCATTGTAGAGGGTTGTTAATTCTTTGCATTAAATATTAACAGAAGCCTCCGACCAGGAGTAACAGTTGGAAAAAAATAGCAGATTGACTGAATTGCATCCATAAGATTTTGTTTTACCAGACAGACTTCAATTCTTTAAAAATATGTGATGTTGACATTTACGCTCGTTTACCTTTTATGAAAGAGAAAACATTATGTGTGCATCGATCCATAGTGTGCAGGTCAAATAAAATCAATCATAATAAATGTTATTTTTAATGATTTTTAGTTTCTTCTTGTTCTGGTTAAGGGTTAAACCGGTCATTTGATTGAGGAGGAGTATTCAGTGAAAGGTCATTCAGTGTAGGATTCGGACACTGAAGTTTGAGTCATTAGCTTGTGGAACAGACTTTGCAAGGGGAAGGGGTAGGAGGAGGGGAAGGGGAAGGGGTAGGCGGAGGGGTAGGGGAAGGGGAAGGGGTATAAAATAGAATTGGGATTGGGCCTTAATAATTAGAAAATAATTACTTCTGCCATAATTAGCCTATTCTAAAGCGCCATTTTACAGAAATAGTGTTTACAGAATAATGTTATGATCTGAACTCCACGCAGCTCCCGCACTACTCGCCACTGGAAATGAATGACTTCTGGTCTATCGGTTGTCGTTTGTCGGAGATAGTGGAAAGGTGGCTTAAGAGATGAATTCAAAAATAGCACAGATTGCTTGACAGAGAGTGAAAATATATCTGTGCTAAACTTATACTTAGCCTCCAACTCACACACTGGCGAGTAAAATCTAAGAATTTATTAGCCTATGACTCATGTTAGACATCATTTAGTCGCCCAGAGTGAAGATTTAGTCACATATGCAAGTGATTTACTTGCATTGTAGAGGGTTGTTAATTCTTTGCATTAAATATTAACAGAAGCCTCCGACCAGGAGTAACAGTTGGAAAAAAATAGCAGATTGACTGAATTGCATCCATAAGATTTTGTTTTACCAGACAGACTTCAATTCTTTAAAAATATGTGATGTTGACATTTACGCTCGTTTACCTTTTATGAAAGAGAAAACATTATGTGTGCATCGATCCATAGTGTGCAGGTCAAATAAAATCAATCATAATAAATGTTATTTTTAATGATTTTTAGTTTCTTCTTGTTCTGGTTAAGGGTTAAACCGGTCATTTGATTGAGGAGGAGTATTCAGTGAAAGGTCATTCAGTGTAGCATTCGGACACTGAAGTTTGAGTCATTAGCTTGTGGAACAGACTTTGTGCTGTATGCTTGTTTTTGATTACAGCCAGTGAAGACAACACAACAGAAAGACTGTAACTGAATAGAAAGACTGCATTCAAATTCAGACTGTAAGCTAAAACTAAAAGTATTATTTCTTTTGCTGTTTGCTGTAGAGTCACTCTGTCATTGAAAAACAGTGCAGGAAACACTGTATTGCTCTATTCATCTGTGATAAAAGAATAAAATGTAACTTCAATCTAATTTTCTCAAGTAGGTCATGACACAAATCTATTCTATAATTTGGGGTTTCACAAACTGGGGGCTGCAAATTAAATAAATTATAAAAATGTAAAACAAAAATATAATATTAATAATAATAAATACATGTAAAAATAAAATAAAAACAACATCTAAATGATACTATAATATTTATTTCAATCATACTACCAAATTATAATTATACTAACTTGCTAAAAAAAATATTAAATATTTTATTTCTTTACTTGCATGTCATGTGACCATTAACCAATTTCAGAGAGCCGCAAACATACAAATGTTATACAAATGTTAAATTATTGAAATGTTAATATTAAAATCTCAGGGGGTAATTCAAGTAAATGTTTTCATCAAAGTGTATAAACGTGAAAATATTTTATAAAGCTAAAGCGAATCAGACCATCTATCACATACCTGTAAAAATGAAGAAAATGAGCACCATGATCAAGGTGTAGCCAAAGTAGAGGATGGTGCTTGCAGCCCCTATGATTTGTAGTTTTGAGAAGAAGTAATGCACTGCGTAGACAAACAGATAGACTGCTGTGAAACCGCTGGTCAGGAATGATCGCCACCACCAGTGATAATCCTGTCAAATACAAATAAGAAGGCTTCAAATAAAAGTTGAAAACACCTGCAATTATTAAAATAAATAATAATAGCACTTTTGACAAATGTTTAAAATGATGTAGACTGGTATGAAATAAAGACTCATTCAAATCAGTGGCCTAGAAAAAAACTCCACAAGACCACATCACTAGATGTCAGTATAAAGTCCATGACTTAGTTGTTTCTGAAGATGAATAAGAAACAACAAACATGTAAATGTAAAATGTAGAATTTAAATTTGTTTAAAAGATGTCGAATCTCACCTCTGCACATAAATGGAAGTAGCAGAGCAGAACAGTTGCCTCAGAGCAAGTAATGACCAGGATGATGAAGACCAGGAAAAGGAAGCCAAACATGTAATACATCTGATGAGACCTGCAGATAAACATTTGAATGCACCGTTAGGAACAAAACATCAGTCCTCACATCAACTCATTTCAGCATGATATGATTTCAAACCATACCAAATGCTGTTGAGGATGAAGAAGAGCTGGATGAAGATGCAGCCGAAGGGCAGGATGCCGCCCATGATGATACCCGGCACAGGTTTGGTGAAGAAGGACTGCGGAGGAATTTGGCGTGGGATCTGGTTTGTTCGCACTGGTGGCTCGATGCCCTGTTAAAACAGGAAAATAAAAACACCCACATTCAAAATATTGTGCATGACAGGGTGCCAAAAGAAAAGCTCACACAGATGGGAAACACAATATCAGCTGATTCAAAGAGATATTCTAAAATACTTAGGAATACACAAATAGGAAGGCATAAGAATTCTGGAGTATCAACTAAAGAACAACTGGCCTGTTCAAGAAGACATACTCACTGGTTTTTTGAAGCCAAAGTATGCACCCACAAAAGTAAGAGGAACAGAGATGCCGAACCACAGTGCCAGGATGGCCACCAGTGTGCCAAAGGGAACAGCAGCGGAGGAGCCCTCTACCCACAGGATCAGATTCATCAGGAAGAAATCCACAAACACAATCCTGCAAAAACACAGCATACTGAAACTGCATCCTGGCATACATCATTTTATTCCTGTTATCAGGAAATGTATTATTGTTCGCCATGAAGACTTACCCAGGACACAAAAAGGCTGTGAGAAGAACATTGGTTTTCCAGTTTTCACCACCAAAAGCTGATGATACAGAGGAAATTGAGGATGCAATATTAAAACTGCCAAAAGGGTCTCTCAAAACTATAAATAACATATCTGTACATTCACAATTTCTATATTTCTATATTGATTTGTATCATGATTACATGTTAATTTCCTATTTTTTATTGTCGTGTTATTTATGTCTGTACTTTTTCTGCACTGGAATCTCCTCTCAGCAAGACAGATTCCTCATTTGTGTAAGCTTACTTGAAAATAAAGCTCATTCTGATTAATATTTAACATATTTAAGATGGACTTAGTATTCTTCCCTCATTAAAATGCAGGAAATTAATAGAACACAAATAAAATGAATAGCACTTTTGAAAAAAAAAAAACTATTTCATAATGATTTCATAATGATTCCAGAAATAAATAAGGTTAAATATGTGTTCCATTGCAATATTTGCTTACTCTTATAGAGTCTGGCAGACACATATCCAGCAGGTGTGCCAAGCAGAACCCACAACACCACTGCACAGGTCATGAGAGCCCCTCTGTTGGCTGGAGACAGGAAGCCCAGACAGGCCAAGACTAAAGGGAAAAGCAGGATTGTCACTTTTGTTCATTTAATGCTACTATAACGGTAATATGAAATAACAAACTACCAAAATGTGTACAACCATATTTAATTGATAACAATCTCTATTATGCATAAATTAACTAATTAAAAATAACGGATTAGTGGAGAAAAGTTCACATTTCTGCCATTTAGCTACATGATGCACTCAAATATTCAATTGTTCTCAAAGTTCTAGAGAAGTAATCCTTTACGTTTAGTTTGTACAATACAAAATCTGCAGTATATTTAATTCATTTCTGTTCCAGATGCACTTACAAAGGGTGATGAAGGTCATGATGAAGACCTGAGTGCCCTGTCCGAGGAATACGGACAGAAGCATGCCCATCCTGGGCGGCCTGAACACGTCACCATGAACCTGCTTCCAGCCAGACTCCTCCTGGGCTTCCTCCTGCAGGAGATATAACAATAAATCTAAATGACCTTACATGGCCGACATCCAATAAATCATTATGGCCAGTCGCCAAACACAATCAGGAACAGCAGATGGTATGTGCCACATATGCATTATCAGTGGCATTATCTATTCATTGCAAAACCTTCAATTTTATACCTTGATTGGTAAGCATAATGTATATTTACACTTGTTTTACCAAGTTCCCGAAGCCAAACAATCAATAAAACATAATCACCAGTGACGACATAAGCTAATAAGCTTACATAGGTAATGTTTGCAGTTGGAGGGATCTTAACCCAGTTTGCCTGTGAATGTCACAACAGAGGAATCAGTGACTGGAGGTATTCTTATGGTTATTAATAAAAGAAAAATAAGACCACACTGAAACTAAGAAAACTTGTCGGTCTGCCTGTGCTTGAGGATTAGGATCTACATTAACTCCATGAAGCAAACATAATATAGTAACTGGAAGTTTGTTCTAACAGTTTATGCCTATGTGGGAGTGTCAGCTCTGTTGACACAAGGGACTTTAGTGACGTTACAGAGTCATTCATTTATTCTGTTATCTAGTTAAAAGTCGGAATGAGAACAAAGTAAATTCAAGTTACCTGGTCCATCTGGTTGTACCGGGCAATATCCTTGTGCAGTGTTCTAAGCATGATCATGGCCACCATGCCAGACAGGAAGAGCACAATGACCAAAGAGTTCATGATGCTGGAAAAAAAAAAAAAATTAAGTTGGGCCATTAATAAGTATGGAGATATGGAAGGAAGAGCCTTCTTAGATATTTTCAACCAGATTGTGCTCACCTGAACCACTGGATGTTAGTGTGAGGCATGGAAACTAAAATATAATCCCATCGAGAAGCCCACCTAATATCATCATTTTGCTAAAAAAGGAGGGAAAAAAATATATTACACATAGTTCTTTCCAACCATCTCATTGTACTGACTCTATAAACAAACTTACCTGAAATTTAACTGAATAAGAGTAGGTGACTTTGAGATTACTTTTGAATTCTGCTGGTATGTCCATGGGAGTGCCTTCACATGATGGACTGTCTTCATCACTATGCTTGACACTGTCCAACAGACAACATATGAATTATTCTTATCTAACAAACTATACTACAGATGAGATAACTCTATCCATACGCATTAGAGTAAATATTTACTTGGTTTTCTTACTGAAGTGTGCTTGCAAACAGGTGTCACTATGCCTAACTTTCAATTCTAGTTAAATCTGAAACGGATCATATCGGCCCACAGAATGTGGAGCAAGAGATAAAATTAGGTCTTAAAGGGTTAGTTCACCCAAAAATGAAAATTCCGTCATTAATTACTCACCCTTGTGTTGTTCCAAACCCGTAAGACCTTCGTTCATCTTCGGAACACAATTTAAGATATTTTTGATTTGATTTTTGTCATTACGCCGGATCTTGGTCAGCGCCGCCACACGCTCGCATCATGATACTGTCGTGAACACGCATCCACAAGTGACGCAGTAGAGACATTTTCGTCTCTACTGCGTCACTTTGGACTCGTGTTCACGACAGTATCATTTTTTCGTTATTTTTGTTTTCTTTGCGCAAAAAAGTATTCTCGTAGCTTCGTAACTTTACAGTTGAACCACTGATGTCACACGGACTACTTTGTCGATCATCTTGGTACTTTTCTGGACCTTGGTAGTTACCTTGCGGTCTATGGGAGGGTCAGAGAGCCCTCAGATTTCATCAAAAATATCTTAAATTGTGTTTCCGAAGATTAACGAAGGTCTTACGGGTTTGGAACAACACAAGGGTGAGTAATTAATGACAGAATTTTCATTTTCGGGTGAACTAACCCTTTAAGGTCACCATTTCAAGTCAAGTTAGTTACAGACACTTGCAAAATCAGACCTCCTAGGCTCCAGTGTTGCCGCCACAAGTCGAGGACTCATCCCATTCGTTTCATCTCCACTGTGATAAACTATGGTGATGTCCACATGGTTGAAAATATAATAAGTGTTCTTCTTGTTGAAATCAGCCTAAAAGAGTGGATAAAAAGCACGTCAGAAGCTTCTTTTACTTAATTTTTGGCGACTAATATAGACTTATTTTTAAAAAAAAAAATTTTTTTTTAAAAAGCTGTAATGATATGAATCAGCAAAACATTGTGTCACTGTTCTGTTGTTGGTAATGCATTTTATATTATTATATTATGCTGTAAAGATTTAACCAATAACGTTTTTTAACATAAAAATAAACAGATTTATTTAATAAACCCTTTTCACAGACTGTGATGACATGTTTCCACAGCTAATAACATTGCAAATATAGCAAAATTCATTAGCAAAGTGCTTCTAATACAACAGCTGATGGATTGATTGATCAATCAATCTCTCTATAATTTTTCCTCTTTTGTTATTATTTGTAGTGGCGCAAACGGGAACACAAAAATGATATCTGTTGTAGTTTAAGTTCAAAGAAGTTTTGCCCACTATTATGACTTTCTCTTCTGTGAAATATGAAGGTCCTTTATATTTGAACAACTAGTCAGTAATAAACCAATATAGGATTCAAGAACCAAAACAGTTGTTAATTTTGTGTCCATTCCACAAATACAGTAAATCTCATGACTTACTGTTACTTAAATGTTACTTACATTTCACTGCTGGTCATATATTCTCTATATAACCATGTATGTGACAAATAAAAAATCTTGAATCTTGACTTTTGATGTATTAGATGTTTAAGAAACTATTACCTAACATGAACTTAACTGTGCTTGAAAAGTAGGTATTTTAAACACATCAAATGTTTGTATCACCATCCTTAAAATAGGGATTACAGCCTGTCTATTTCCAACAATTAAATTAAATCAACAATGTCATGATCTTGACATAATTTACCGAACTGATATTCAATTCATTGCAGTAATACAAATTATTTATCCCAACTTTTTATTCTATCACATTTATCCCATCACAGACTGCCTGCTCACAACTCAAGTGGGGAAAAACAGTCTCTCTCACATTTATCACACAGGCATCCTTTGGCTTTCCTTCTTGGTTCACTAGACATCCAATGGGAAATCCTGGGTTGCAGACTTTCTGATTGCCTTCCACGATATAACACCACGTCACTGGCATGTTGTCAACAATCCTGCAAAACAAGTTTAAGAATAAACTAAATCCACCTTTCCATCGTTTAGAGAACCCATTAGAGATTGCATAAAGTATTGTATGCCAAACCCTACAAAAACAAATTGGTATTGTGTCTTTCCAACTCTTAAAGCAAGATGACAACTTTTATTTTGTTACTACTACCACACCTACCGTAGGCATTACATCTAGACTTACCAGTGGTGCTGGTAATTCAGCTCCATTCCTTTCTTTAGAAAGTCCAATTTTAACTTGTCTTCTCTTGAACCTGCATCATACGATTTGGTGCAGACCTTCACACAAGCCTTGTCAGCCTTAAATGAAAACTATGGAGAATTTCAAAAATCAGTATATGAAGGATCCATTATATGAGAAGATATGACAATATAGAAAATAAATCACATGGACAACAAAAGGAAGAAGTGTCTGTGTCTGTCAGTTGCAGCTACTAGTAAAACTTGACAAACAACATGCCAGCTCTCAATGAACAAGGTGTAAAAATCGTATGTCACTGCCACAATAATATTAAATTACAATTAATAAGATTGATCAAATGAAAAAAAAAGTCAAATAAAAACATTAATCGCTTACCTTGTAAGGTGACGTCTCTATTCTTTCTCCAAATAACACCTGCCCAAGGTTCTCCGAGGGCCTTCTTTCATCCGTATCTTTGCAAAAATCAAACCTAAAGCAAAAAGTATTCCCTCGCAGGTCGGTCCTTGTATAGAAATGCATGCAGATATAATAAAGCTTATATTGTGAAGAACAAGAATACTCACGCATCATATTCATAAGGCAGGACTGATTCTACTGAGTCCAGTCTATTCACAAACAGCTGTATGTCTTTCTGTGGGAATGACAGCAGGGGAGTCGGGTCAAGGGGACAGCTGACTATTAATCATATCTCAGCCATTAGGCTACATATATACCTGAAATTGCTTAATGAACACTTTTGTCTGTTTTCATTTTTTGAACATGAATTTGCAATGTAGAGAATCCAGAATTTGCTTTTTAACTCAATGTCGAAACATTTATTTTATTTGTTATGCCTCAACTGTTTGTACACGCAAGTAAAATAATACGTACAGGACATCAAAAGCTCACCTGACATTCCTTCGCATCTTCTTTTTCGCAAAAACTGACTGGTGCTAAACCCGGAAGGTAGAATCCAAAGCTTGAGCTGACTAGTGTTAAACTCAGCAAAAATATAAAACGCGGATTTAAAGACTTCATTTTTCAAAGCAGCGTCCTGCGAAAATTCCGATTTACTCTGCTGGAGCAAACCATAAAACTAACCGGCGACAATTCACAGAGAAAATCGCCAAGACAACGAGCTCGCAGCTGCTAAGAGAGATTTGTATCAGAGTCACTTCCTTACTGCGCGCATAACCCCGCCCACCGGTGACCCCTCCCCCAATTCATCTACATCATTCTCTCTCTCTCTCTCTCTCTGGTTTTATTGGCGGGTCGCAACCAACTTGTTCAGGTGCATACCGCCACCTACTGTACCGGGGTGTGCAACTTCAGGGCTTCATGTGCTTAGCATGGTTATAATCATTAAAAAAAAAATAATAATAAATAAATAAATATTCTCATTTTCTATATGCTGTGCTCTAACCCTGTATCTTTAAATTAAAGAGGAATTAATAGTATATCTCTAAAGACACTATTAGGTTATGGGGTAATGCAATCAAGAATATATGGAGAATTGTTTAAGTATTTAAAAAAGACAAGATTAATGGAAAGAGTTTGAAGTTTTGAATTTTGTATTTATTTATGTAAAAAAAAAATTGGTTTATTTTATTATTTTATTTTATTATTATTTTTATTATTATTTTTTAAATCTATAATAGTTGAATAATTCGCAGCTGAACCGTGTACGTTTCACACTCCAGACCAGTAGGTGGCGGTCATGCACCTTTAACGTTGTTTGCCAATCCGCCAAAAAACTCGAGAGAAGAAGAAGAAGAACATGGCAATAGGGGGCATGAGAGACTTTTGTGAAATTCAGATTTGTGAGCTGTGATGAAGATTTGTGGCGGTGATCTATTTGAACTGATGTAGTCCACAATTGTCCTCTAAGAAGTTTTGAGCTTACATGATGGATGCACACATTTGCTCGTCAGTGTGCTTGTATCTGTTTTTCTTTCTAATTTAAGAGCTACAATTTCCTAAACTTCTGTTCCTTGTGTTTTAGCCTCTTGATGGAAAGACTATTAAAGTGGAACAGGCCACAAAACCTCAGTTTGAGTCTTCAGGACGCCGTGGTCCACCTCCATCACGGAGTCATGGCCCTTCCAGAGGTCTGCGAGGGTCTAGGGGAGCACCAAGCAGAGGTACCATTCAGAACTTTTATCGCCCCCTTTTTAATTTGTGCCATGATGACACCATTTTGATGATTTGTTTGAACTGATTGTCCTCTAAGAAGTTCTGAGCCTACACTTAATATGCATACTTGCTGCCAAAATAAATATTACCAAGATAACGTAGGTATTGTAGAACCCTTTTTTAAAGGCATGTCATCCAGAGGGCCACCACCACTGAAGAGAGGCCCCCCAGTGCGGAATGGAGGACCCCCACCCAAGAGATCTGCACACTCTGGGCCAATGGGAAGATGTGAGTTTGGTGAACACGCACAGATTTGTACTGTTAATTGTTTGAATGCATTTAACAGTGCCAATGTATTTAACTGTGCCAGTGTCCAGAGACAGGGACCCATACAGCCCTCATCCTCGCAGAGATTCTCTGATGTCACGGCGGGATGATGGTCCTCCACCTCGTGATGACTACAATAGGAAAGACAGGTGGGATGATGTGCAAAAAGCATGAGTAATACAGAAACGAAGATGGGAAAAATATGAATATTAGAGAAAAAAATTATAATAATTTTTAAAAAGAAAATTGCAAGTGTTGTCTTGGTAATTAACTGAAACATTTATAAAAATGTAAGCTTAATAGAAATATTAAACTAATAAGAATGACAAAAGCATATGAATTACTAAAACTCAAATTAATGAACTCCTATAGGGTATAAATACACTAGAACAATATTGGTGCAGTATAATGTGAAGCTCACAAGCTGCTGTTTTGCAGTTACTCCAGCCGTGACTACATGAGTTCACGGGACAGTCGAGACTATGCCCCGCCACCACGTGATTACTCATACCGGGAGTATTCGGGCCATTCCAGTTCTAGAGATGACTATGGGTCAGGATCCAGAGGTTACAGGTGTGTTAACATCCTGCAATGGATGTCTGTGATGGCAGTTTGAGAATCCAGCCTAACGTTTCTTTGTTTCTTAGTGATCGTGATGGCTATGGTGGAGGACGAGAGCCCAGGGGTTACATGGATCGGCCCAGTACGGGCTCCTATAGAGATCCTTATGACAGTTACGGTAAGATTGAACCTTTAGTCTGGTGAAAAGGGTTAGGGGGGCTCCACTCAAACTGCCTGTTTTGTGCCTGGAAAGGGCTGCTTCGTGTCATTGCCAAAAAGTGGAAACATCAAATGCGGCGTCTTTTCATCCAGAGTGTTCCATCCAATAAAAAAATCACACCAACAAGGAATCTCTTACAAGCTGTTTTTTGCCCCCCAAAAAGTTCCGGTCATTCCGGTAGCACTGTCCGAACAACCAACAGAGATCCAGTATCCAAACTACAGTCTAAATGGAATTCAGTCCAAACCAAGGAAAGTGCATTTACTCAACAATGATGTGCCAAAGGGCTCTGAGTGCGCAATTGTCAACACTGCAGTTAGGTAGATCAGGTATCTTAGCTTTAACTAGTCCCACCCATAACCCTAGAACCAAATTTGTTTTATCCTCATTTGGAAAGTTTCTAATGTTTGAGCTAGTCGTGATACAAATTTAGGGAAATGGGCACTTGACAACGCAGTATCATGCAAAGAATGTTTAAGTTAATTTTGCCAATTACATGACCCATTGACCCTGCAGGTAACTCGCGCAGCGCCCCACCCTCGAGGGGTCCCCCTCCGTCCTACAGTGGGAGTGGTGGAAGCAGTCGTTATGACGACTATGGCAGCAGTTCCCGGGATGGATATGGCAGTCGTGACAGTTATCCCAGCAGTCGGAGTGACCCATACTCCGCTAGTCATGGTGACCGTCCGGGTAGACGGGAGCGAGGGCCACCCCCTCTTGAGAGAGGCTATCCTCGTGAATACAGCAGCTCGAGCCGTGGGCCGCCTCGGGGTGGTGGCCGCGGCGGTCGGGCAGATAGAGGAATGGCCCGGAACAGATACTGAGATGGACTCTGTGGAGAAACAAATAAAATGGAGAAATGATGGCTTCTCGTTGAAACGTTCAAAAGACTTTAAGATAAAAAAAAAAGTGCCCTTTTAAACTCTGGACTTCAAGCTTCAGTTTCAAGCTGTACTCAAACTTGTGAAAGTTTTTTATATATTTTTTTTTTTTGTCCTTTTTAAATTCAAAGTTTCATTCTTTTCTCTTGCCCACTTCCCATTTAATGGTACCGTTGCAAATCTAAGTTTGCTCTTTTTGTATACTAGTGACTTGTTAAACCTGCAATGCCCTAACATATGGCTTTCATTTACCAATAAAGTATTTTTAATCAAAGCTCTTGAGCAACAGCACTCCATTCAAGAGAATGAGAAACTATGAAGTGTAAATATCCATTCACCTCTTCAGCTTTCCATGGTGAGCAACCCCAAGTTTCACAAAATATATGTGCAAAGCAGAATATTCATGTAGGCATGATTGTTCACATTGTTGGGGACTGGGCAAATGTCACCTTTTTCCAAGATCTCTATGGGTATAGTTTTCCTCAGTGCAAATGGATCCTTCATCACAAAGCCTAAACATTGACGCCTTGCATCGACCAATCCAAAGACAACCAAAATGCAAGAAACAAATCAGCACCACAGATAAAACCTGTCAACAGCTGGTAAGCAAAGCAAACCCTTTTGTTCTGGTATAAGTCTAGTCTCTGTGGTGTTATTTTGCAGATTGAAGGTTAGTGTAATTTAGTCAAACATCGACTTGGTTGCCCTGGCTTTTTCAAATGCAATCTGAAACGATATCATTTCCATTATTAACAAACTCACTTCTGCCTTCAAAGGAGTCTGATCTCTCTCTTCCCAGCCACTGGACCACTTCAGTTTGGGAGGTCTTAGTCTCAGAAATATCAGCCAGTTCTACTGTTGCACTAAAGGAGAAAATGTCTGGATTTTTTTTTCTTTTCTTTTTTTTTTCTTTTTAAAGGATGTTAAGATGAATCTCCTCAATGGATCTATATCTACAGCCAAATGTAAACCACATAGCTGCAAAACCTCTTGAAACCTCCCAATGGAACCGTTTTTGAAAATGTAGTAAATTCACTTGGTGTTAACAAAAATCCAGAATGCTCTCAAGCATGCCGATTCTAACAAAGGAGACCACGTGGAGAAAGACAGCACCCTATCAACAAACCTGGAAAACCAATCTGTTTGGGTCATTTGAGTTCTTTTGTAAAATTTACATTTAAAAAATTTTTAGTCCCTTATGCTGAGCTACAACAGTTCGCTGATGGAAACTCTCATTGCAGGCTGAATGGAGGAAAGGGAGTTTGATGGTTATACGTTATTGCTGATCAGCACCTGTTGCCATTTGGTGATGCATGATGGTCTCAAGTAAGATGCAGGTATGAGTAAGTCCTTAAACCACTGAAAATTCATATTTGGTGTTTTCATACAATTAATTACTTTGTTTTCATCTAGATCCAAACTATCCAGGTTCTTTGGAGGCTGCGGTTCATTGAGGCTGATGTTTGGATGGAGTCCTGGAGTGCTACAGATGAATTGCTTTTATTTATTTTTATTCAATAAACTTATCATTTGAATTGAAATGAACTTATTTGTCCGTGTATCTTATTTAATTCCCACTATAACAGTGCTGAATTGGTATGGTCATGTCAGTGCTCACTGTACTACAGGCAAAAGTAATTTTCATCAAAAAACGCAGTTGAGCCATATGGAAAATTCCTGCGGCATTTTTAAAGCAATCACAGTTCCTTTTGTGTCAGTGAAATGTCAAAGAGCCTTTATGTTGGTTATATGGCAGACGTCCACTGGAGAACTAAGTTGCCGGCTGAATGGTCGTTGTAACATCAGTGAAAAAGCAGAAGCGCGACGGATGTGGGTATAGTGATGGGAAGTTCGGTTCTCAGCCACGTTAAAAAAGTAAATAACTTAAGTAAAGTGTGGATTAATGCTACCTGGAGACGCGAACCGTTTCAAACGATTCAGTCCGATTTGGTGAACTGGTTCACTAAGAAGAACCGGTTAAATTGAACGATTCGTTCGCGAACCGGTCATCACTATGTGGGTAGCATCTCAACACAAATAGTGAGAGCTGGCGCACCACGGGTGCAGCTAAATCTGAAAGGCCCATTGAGCATAAAAACTATGAACCCCGAGGAGCAAACTGTTACGTGGCTAATAACATTAGGCGTGCTTAATTCACCCAAAAAGAATATCGCTGATCCGGTGGAATTTCTGAAAACCTCTCTCAGAGATGGGGTCGTCCTGTGTAAGCTTATGGAGCGGGTGCTACCTGGAGCCACCTTAAAGGTAATCGATAATATGCACATGCATGTTTGCTTGATTAAATAGTCGCAGTCTAGTGAATTAAATATTTCCATAAATGCAAATGTATCCGATACAGCCATGCGGAATTAACGGTGCACGTTGCGAAATTACTCGCTGTTACAAGTAACACTTTGCAATGCACTGTATTTTGTAAAGATGCAATACGTTTTGAAACCATTTTCAGCTATTATTGTGTATTTAACTGTGTTTGTTTATTCAGGACTCACAATTTAATCGAGATAGAGAATCTGACTTCCTGTTACATGAGAAATTGTTCCGCATTCTCACATTTTCAAAAAAACGAAAAACTTGTCGATCTTCACTTTAGTATAAAACACCAAGAGCATTTGTAAAGCAATTTTCTTCTCTCGTTTGTAAAAGCCGTCTAACTAGAGCCCTAGTAACTTTACTCATGGCACATAAGGTCGTTATTAATAAGATAACCTAGGGTATTCATTTTGAGTTTCTGCTGAATAAAATTCTGTTGAAATTGTTTTACTGTAAATGCTTTATTGGGCGAATATATAGAGCTCACTGAAATGTAGAACGAATGTGCTGATCAGTACAACAACTTGTAAAAGTTTCTCCGTTTTATAGAGCTCATTATAAGTTTTCTTGGTTCTTGTCTTCTTCCCTTCATTTCTTTTCAGCATATTTCTATTTCATACCACTTTACCCATTTTAACGCACGACGCTTTCAAACGTTTATCTTGTTGAATGTATTTACATTATATTAGTGAATGAATCATTCTTTTGTGTCGGATCTTTTTAATGAATTGGATTAGTCGGTTCACGAAACGGGACTGAACGATTCGTGCAAAAAACAAACAAACAACTGTTTAGCGAATGGTAATGCAAATTATATTATTATGACTTTTTTACAAGCTGAATTATTACTGCAACCAGACATATGGAATTACAGTTTGGGGGAAAATGTATGGCTTTATTTAAATGTTTTATTTATACCATATAATATACCACGTCATGGACGTCAATGCGCAAATGAATCGAATTTTGAACCGGTTCTTTGAACGGAACTGTTCGAAAGAACCGATTCGCGGAAATGAGTCGGACTTGCCATCATCACTAGTAAGCGGTCAAAGTAAAATCTTGCTGAGCAAACATCGTCACTTCCTCCAAATTTACTTTTCCTGGTGCTACAGGGCCCGATGAGATCTAGCATAGATACGGGCTGTGTGTCTGTGTAACAGGACGAAGCTGACGCAAAGAAACAGTTTCTTAGTTAACTGAACGCCAAAGATATTTAGCATGCGATACTGGACGGCAGTGGCAGGGTACAATGTGGCTCATAGGCTAGGTTGACACACACTTCAAAAAACGAGATCTTGTTGATCTCAGGTGGTTCTGTGCGTTACAGTGTGCTCGAAGCAAAGTTGAGACTATTTACATCGCATTCTTTCATTGGTTTTCAGTATTCAACTGAACCCAGATGCGAAGCGGACTGCATTGCAAACATTCGAGAGTTTCTAAAAGGATGCCAGTCTCTAAAGGTTGAGGTAAGATCAAAATTTCCTTAACATTTCTGTGCATGAGTGCGTTGGTATCACTCAAATGCAGCGTTTTTGCTTATAAAGGGTCATGCCTTTGAGAAATACAGCTGAGTGTGTATTAATATGCGACCTGCAGGCTGAAGATAATCACTCTTTTAGGTAGTAGATCTCAAATAACCTAAATCAGTTATATAGTGTAAATGTATGAAAATACATTTCAGATTAAAGCTGTATGTATAAGCATTGATTTTATGCAGGAATGATTTACTTAACATAGTCTTAATTTATATTAGATAATATATTTAATAATTTATATTAAGTATTTATGCAGAGTACTTCTTCCTTCAGCCCATCTATTTTAGTGTAGCTCTCCCTGAGGGCAAGCAAATAAATAGCAGGGTTTCGTTTTGGTTTTGCACATGTGATCTTAAAATATGCCAGTAAACAAGATTGCACATAATACTAGCTCTTTCGCATATGCATTTCATTTATTATGGCTATTATGGTCTTGACCTGCAGCAGCATTACAGATCTCTCAAGATGATGTTCAGGAATTATAACTGTCACAGTAAACATTGTCAGTCTGCAAGGTCAATTACTGACACAGACACACAGACAAACTATGATGCCACACCCTCTGCAATGACAGTGTTCTTGGACTAAAACTATGATCAAAATCTGGTTATGGAGTGATGGACTGTGCATATATAGTGAACATGACTCCTTAGCACCGTGTTACTTGGTTATATGTAATGTTTGGGTTTGATTTAAAGATAGTGAGCTTGCTAATAAAATTGTGGTTTTGTTTGACCTTTATTGAAATATTTTCCTTTTTTTTATGGTTGAAACCTATTTATAAGAGTATAAATTGAACATCTTGCCACTGAACTGTTCAGAAGGCTAGTGGTAGACTGATATGGGGTTTTTAATAGTCTATACAGATATGCGCTAATGCAGATGAGATGAGAATGACAAAATGTTGGCTATGCATGGACATTGCTCTCTGCGAATTTTGAGACTGACACCAGGCAGAGTGACCACTGTTAACTGGCCATTCAGCACAATTAGTGGCCAATGCTGATGAATTAATCATATCTATGAATATCTGCTAAAGAAAATTGAATCAACTCAACTTGCTTGTGTAATGCTGTGATCTTTGGCTAGACTACGTTACTCAGCAGCACAAATGATTGCTGTTCTCTCCTATAATTTGTGGTGATGCTGTAAAGCAGCAGTATGAAGCTGGACAAGGAGTGCTGAGGGTGAGAGTTACTGGGAATAGATGGTGATATACCTTAAAATATGGTTATCAGTATAAATGTTCAAGTATAGTTTCTGTCACCGTTATGCCACTGTTTCCTGTGATGCTGAATTTATGCTACGGCATAAATTCATGTTTATCTGATTTGTAAATGTAATTTTGGAGTCTGAACTTGATTAGATCAAAAGAATGCACATGTCCTGTCTTCGAGAATTGCAC